TAGACGTTTCCTGATTACACAGGGGAGGGAGGGGTTTGACTCGTCTCTACACACAGGCAGGATGGAAAAACAGAACTCCGTTGGCATTGAACGTCCCCAAATAATTAAAAACCAGGACGCCAAGTGCAAAGTTTGGAGCAGCACATTTACCCAGAGGCTCTCAGATTGAGCAAACTTGTGAGAATACACGTAATAACTGACTAGAGATGGAGCAACATGTCGCTAGCATAGCGGCTAATCTCTAGCATAGCAGTTTGACCAGTTATATTGATATAAAGATATAAAGTCACCTTGTATCTTGTTTAAAAATTATACTGATATTTTAAAAATATCGATATATCGCCCAGCCCTAGCGCAGACTGAAAGCCCGTTGCTTGGCCGATTCTGGGCATTGCTTTAGCAACCCCAAGCTACATCGTGCTGCCCATGCAACTTTACTTCATAATATTTATTCCTTCTAAAAAATGAGATGTGAATAATCTTGTGCCACATCGTGTATTGATCACGTTTTATCACAGCATGAGGAAAGGGAGGGAAAGGTGGAGTAGGGACATGTGTCATTTTCTTGTCTTCTAAATATGAGACAGTCCTGGTGGAAACGACTGCTGAATTTGAATAAAGTCATGAATTTTTAAACAAACAGCCCAAGGTAGTGTTTATCTCCATGCTTCATAATGTACTGATTGTTATTGAAGCAGGAAGTTTGTGCTATGCACCGAATGGAAGGAACCTTCTAAAATGTTTACCTAAAACAAAATTTAAAATTAAGTTACACAAACAGAGAAGCACTGTGTTTTATCATCTCTGGGATGACTGGGAACTGAGGCCGTTTCTTCTTCTCTGATGTTATTGGGCAGAGCACCTCACACCAGTGGTGTTCTGTTGCTAAATACGTGACTGTAATGAGTGGAGGACCCAAGGAGGTACGGCTGTTCAATGAGACTGAAAACTTGGTTGCTTTTAGTTCAAAACATGTTATTGGTGGAGGTTTTGAGACAAATGCAAGAGAACAACTTCCTCAATTTTTCTTTAACCCTCCCACATGTCAGCTCCACTTTTACGAAGTCCAGTAGCGACTTGACCGCCACTCTGAAGTTGCAAGTGTGATATTCTGTGATCAATGATCAGCTTTCTTTTGTTATTCCCCATTTTAAAAAAGACGTAGGGAAAGGTGCCTTTTATTTTAAAGCTCCTCGGGACTGGAACAAGTTACCTGCTCATATAAGATCTATTTCCTCTTTTCGCCTTTTTATAAACTCTCTATGAGTACATGAAACCGATCTGCAATTGTTTTGAAGGCGCTGTCTGACTTTCTTTTTGTTGTACCAAAGCAGGATATTATTATTTTCTTTTTTATCCAGTTTTTTTTATCTATTCATTAATCTTCTCAGTTGTCTTTTGTTAATTTTGTTTTGATTGAGTTTGTTTTGTTCTATAGAGTGCTGCCTCTGTCTTCTTGTATTTTGTTTCTCTACGGTAGGAGGACCCACTCGTAAACAAGATGTTTCATCTCAAGTAGTTTTATCTTCCTAAAATATAAGTTACAGTTTTTCTCAATTGCTAGAACACTAAAGTCCATTGACTAAAGAAAGTTCTCAGTTGCTTGAACTCATTAAGCTAACTGTTGAGCCTGTTGTTAAAGCCTTGAACCATTTTACACGGTTTAGCAAAACTCTAAACACATTCTCCGTCTTAAAACACATTCTGCACTCTAATGTACATGTCATCCATAACGGTAAACACAAGTGGCACATTTACCCATAACAAGAGCACAAATGTCATTGATTGAACACAATCAGTCAAAACAGATTTCACTTGTTTCAAATGATGTGAAAACCAATAAAAGCAAGTTCAGAGAGCAAACAGGTTGTTGAAGGTGGGAATGAGGAAGTGACAACGGATAGAAAAATTCATGTGAGAGGACGAGGATGGGTGCGAGGTGGGGGATGAGGAGGAGGGCAAGAAAGAGAAAGAGGAGGATGAAGAGGAAGAGAAAGACAAAGAGTGGAAATTGAGCAACAACCATAGACCATGTTGTTGTCCGTGGGCTGACAACGAGGGAAGCAGGACATAGAGAGCAACCCAGTTTGAGCCTCAGGAGGGAAAATGTTACATGTGATGTCGATGAAGTGCTGTGGCCTGACCCAGCCCACAGACAAGAAGAGGTCCATTGATGACATGTTTAGTCCTTTGATGTTTTTCATTTCATGTATTTTTTTTTTACTGTCATTGAACACTGTAGCACAACGGACTGCAGGCTGTATGTGGTACAATAAACAAATTGTATGGCCCTGAACTTTGTGCTTTCTATTTTTTGGTGTATTGTTTACTGACTGCTTGATGGTGTATGTAATTTTCAGTAATCTGTTTATGATTTGAGAGTAGTGTTTGATTTTGAGCACAGCTAAAACTGTTTTGAGGCAAAAGTTTGATTTCGCAAGAGGAATGAGAGGTTTTGTAAATCGTGCTTGAAGCTGATGGTTTTGTGTTTGATGTTTTGAGAAAAGGGAGCAAGGTTTCAGGTATTGTGCTACAGCAACTGAGAAAAACTGCAATAAATATATCTAATAAATATTCTGGGGGGGGGGGGGGGGGTCTGAGTTGCATTTCATTAACCCTTCAGGGGCGTAGCACCAAATTCTGGGCTCTAGGTACAAGTCTTCTAGGTGGGCCTCCATGCTCAATTACTTAATATATCTCTTACACATTTTTTGTCATGCTATAAGACAAGATGATAAATATGATCTTAGTTTAACCTCTATATTGAGCAAATACAAATGCCAGCATAATAAAAGTGAAATGCCCAGACTTCACATATAATTATTTTTATTTGCCAACAATGTGTTCAAACAAAAATCCTGGAATTTATTTTCCAGTAAATGCCCACTTCATGTTAGCAAAATCACTTATGAGATCTTTAAAGTCCAATCCTTTGGCTAATTGGCTTTCAATAGAAAGAAGAGCTAGGCTGTTCAGTCTATCCTGGGACATTGTTGATCTCAAATCATTTTTCACCAGTTTCAGTTTGCTAAAAGCCCGTTCACCCCCAGCAACAGTCACAGGTAGTGTGCAAAATATCCTCAGTCCAATACAAACTTCTCCAAAAATGCTCTGTAATTGCATCCTGTAGATGGCATTAAGCAGCTCAAGAGGAGACCGAATGTGTGGAAATGTGGCACCATATATTGTTCTCAGGTGTAGCATCTCATTCTCAAATTCAGCTGTGAGATCCTTGTAATATTTTCTCATCAGTGCCTGGCATGATATCTTCATCTGCTCTTCAGTCATGTCTGTCATGGTTCATGATGTTAAGCTTTGCTGATACTGATATGTATTGATATATTAAATACATATGACATGAAATAAACCAGGTTCTCTCTGTGAATGTAATGTACTCTAAATTTTATAATCCCTGCATTATCAGCCAAATTATAAGATTGTCCGTTTTCAAGATCAAATATAAAGAAGTTTAAAATAGGCTTAAAATATCTAAGCAAGTCAATAACAATCCTCTAACACCAGTGTCGTCATGCTATACGAAAAACAGTGGCAGCTTCTCATTCCTGAGATTACCATGAATCCATCGATACCAAGTTTGTCCTGGTCCATGACTGGGAAGGAGCTGAAATATCCACACAGAGTGAACCTGTTTTTACTGCGAGGTCCGCGAATTAATTGGCGGCGGCCGCCCGCGATAATAATTCTGATTAATATATATATTAATTAGTGTTTTCACTGATAACACTAATTAATTTATATTTGATCTTGATGGTGAAACTAAAGGCGTTTAACACTGAACACCTAACATGAAGGCAGCTTCTGAGAGCTAGCTAATATCAGCTAAAACTGTGTTCTGCTGCTGCTGCTCACCTTCCTTCTACTTGCTTCTGTTCAATTAACTTTTCCTCCTTCTCCTTCTTTTCTTTTCTTTTCTTTTCTGGAAGCCAGATTTCCCTTTCTTGGGAAAAGACATGACTGACTCTCCTGCCTCCAGCTCTGGCTGTCATCTGCGATGTCTCATTAGCTGTACATGCGGCTCTGCAGCCCCTGGCCGCTGGTGTGGACTGAACCACTTTGCACATTTTTAAGGGGTGATAGATGCTTCAGAGATTATTCAGTTATTTTTTTTAAGGCGAAATTCTGTTTCTTAACCTCTTTATCCAGGTAAAGGGAAGTTTATTAAGACATTAAGTAAGTTGGGGGGAAAAAACAACAACAATAAAACATTTTTATTCAAAGCTGTCTCAGGGCCCCTCCCTGCAGTGGGCCCTGGGTAAACGGTACCCTTCCCCCCCCCCCCCCCCCCCCCCCAGTCTGACGCCCCTGAACCCTTTAACAGTTAATTTGAGCACATGCTGGCTCAAGAAAATTATTAAAAAATATGAAGTTGCTAAGTGTGCCTGTAATTTTGAAGGGCATTACAGCTTTATAATAAACAATATAATCCTCCTTCCTTTTTTCTGGAATTTATTCAAAATAAAGGCTTCTTCATAAGAGAAATCAATGTCCAATTAAAATTTCAGTTATTTTTATTTACCTTTGTAAAATGTAATGACCTGTTTCTTGTATTTTTCTGTGTTGACTTAAACACTTGTCCTACTTTGAAGCCTTTCTGCCACGTGGATATGCTAATACTAGTTAGCTAGTAATTACTAGATGTAGCGTTTAAAATTGGTTTCCACTACCTTCTAAAGTAAAGATCTAGCAGGAAAACTCTTTACAGATTATTTAATATTCATATTCATGACCAAGAAAAACAAACATGTGTCATTAGAAACGAAACAAGCTCTGGGTGTCATTAAATGACAAAAACTCTTTTGTACAAAACGGCAAAAACAGTAAGTATATGAAAGTTTTCGTGAGGAAATGTGTGGGATAAAGATTAATGTCTTTAACTGAAGTTCTCCTATTAGAGCAATAGTAAAATAAACATTAACAGGCTTAAATAAACTTTAACAAGCTGCCCTTTGAATCTGGACCAGTATAAATGGCTTTCCTACCTTGTGAGGCTTGTTTTGGAGGAGAAAACCCAGCGAGGCTCTGTCCGCTCTGAGATCAGCAGTAAATGAGGAGGGAAAGTGATGAACACACCTTAAATATGGGCTTAAGTTTTGATTTCCCTTGAACAGCCACCCACTTCTAAGATGACCTGGTGAAGTAAAGTACTGTAAACGTCTCTTTTTTGGGGGGGAAATTGAACCCCATCAGCCCTAAAGTTTGAGATGTATTTATTGATTTAATTATCTATTTATTTTTACTGTTTGTGCTTACTTTTAACACACTAGTGAAATATAAAAATCATAAAGTAGGCTGAAATGCTATATTTCTAAAACAAAAATACAGCAAACCTCCCCTGCCTCACAATGGTTTGATCCAGCTCTCCTTTCCCGGTTTGGCTCTCGGTGCTCCGTACCTGCCTGTGGCTGTCGCTATTATTCTGAAGATTCCTGCTTTTTGCGGGACAATACCGGATTTCCATAAATTTTCACATGTCCTGCTAATTGAGACACCGCATGTTTGACAGTCTCCCGTTTCGTGTTTAAATCTTGCATAAACGGATTGTGTGACGATCTAGAGGCTGTCAATCAAACTAGGAGGCGGGACTTAAACGCAGGCGTCCAGGATCTGCTGGGGGTCCTTCGACTGCCGATGACGTCACTAGGTGCGACGTCACTGCAAATCTACTCGGCTTTCACACATACGTTTTGGAAAGACATCAGCAATTTTGTTAATAAATTCTTGTTTGTTAACACCTAAATGTTTTCTTTATAATAGTAAAACACCATATTATCTTTGTTTTGTAAAGAATGTGAAACTGCATAAAACCACCATCGGACTGACAAAAAATACAACAGTTCTTATATGTGAAGCCACATCTGTATGTATTAATGTGGAGTTCGTCTGTGTATTTCCTTAGTTGTTATCTAAATACATTTTATGACTCAAAATATTGCTTGGTGTCTTTCAGTAAAGTTCTTATATTTTATTTTGCCCCATTTCATCAACATCAAGAGCTTTGGAGGGTCACCGTTTATCATTAGCTTATATTTTACATGTCTCCAAAAAGTGTTGATTTTTGGACTACAGGACTACAACCGCTAAGACTACGACCGCAAGTTTGTTCTGACCAATCAAAATCATAACGTGATAACGTCACTTCCGTAAGCTTCATGTTCAGCCAATCAACTACTTTGACGTCGTCGGCAGTCGAAGGACTCCGAGCCGATCCTGCACCGACACAGGTCTAGAGAGAACAGAGAGCATGTGGAAGCAATCATTTACCACAATTCAAATAATTAAGAATTAGCATAAATGCTCCTTAATTTTCTCTGTACAACCAATAATTTTTACTCTTAAACAAATTGAACAAGAAATCATCCAAATTGCTTTTTAATTTTCTTCTTTATCATTGCTTATTATGTGACTTGATGAAAATGATACAGTAAAGGACATTTAAGATTTCATTTTCAAATAACTGTGATAAAAGTGTAACAACATTCAATTTGAAATGTCAAACTTGAAAATTAAAATACATGTGCAGAAATGCTTTTTAATTTTTTTAACTCAACTGTCAATTGTGAGTGATGAATGAAATAAATAAGAAATCATTCAAACTGCGTTTTAATTTAGCTCATTCTGTGACTTCATGAAAACGATAAAGAAAAGAACATTTAAAGATCACCAATGTAAGATGGTGCTTGTCCATGTAAGGCCCCAAAGACCAGAACCAGGATCTTGAAATGAACTCTGAAGTTGACTGTCAGCCAGTGAAGCTGGAGGAGAAGAGGGGTGATGTGGGTGTGTTTGGAGGACTTTGTCAGAAGCCGAGCACAGGCATTCTGAACCACCTGTAGACGGTTCAGGGAGGTTCTGCTCAGACACGTGAAAAGAGAGTTACAGTAGTCTAAGCGTGAGGAGATGAAGGTGTGGAGAACTGTCTCAAGTTCAGAGCGGGGCAGAATAGGACTCAGCTTAGCAATGTTCCTGAGATGGAAGAAGGAAGAGCGAACAAGAGAACTGACATGAAAATCCAGGGTGTGAGCTGGGTCAAAGGTCAAGCCAAGATTCCTGACAGACGGTTTAGTGTAAGAAGCAAGCTGACCAAGAGAGTCTCTGACTTTGAGAACCAGCTTGTCTGGGCCACAGATGAGGATCTCAGTCTTATCTTCATTCAGCTGTAGAAAGTTCCCAGCCATCCAGGTTTTGATAGAGTCTAATCAGGTGTGTAACAGCTGCAGCTTAGACATCTCATGGGGCTTAAAGGAGATGTACAGTTGGATGTCATCTTCATAAAGATGGTAGGAGATTCCTTTGAAGGAGCTCAGGGTGTGCTGAAGAGGAAGCAGATAGAGGAGGAAGAGCAGAGGCCCCCAGCACAGAACCTTGTGGGACACCATGGGTAAGGGTGGTGGTGGAGGACCTAAACTTGGAGATGGCCACAGAAAAGGAGCGCTCAGACAGACAGATAAGTAAAAGTAAATTATTATATTAATATTAGTCAAAACTGTGTTCTGATAATTAGTTCATGTGTCAGGCTTTAAAGGATTAACTGTCTGTCTAGGCTGATAATATCTTTGCACAAGGCTGCAGATTTCTCTCAGAGTCTGAATGGAAGTTAGACTCTGAGAGAGAAAGAGAACTAAACATGAATAACATGGTTAGTTCTCTTTCTCTCTCAGAGAAAGGTAAATCTCCTGGAGTGCACTACAGATGTTTAACCTGCTGTATGCTAGCGTTAAAGCTTAACACTGCCAATAAAGTTATTATGATGGACTCGTTTCATTAGCAAACTTAACTTTAAGCGACTTACATATTTCTTTGGAAAATAGCTCCTCATGTCCTCAACCTTCTTCTTTTTGCCTTCATCCTACTATAAACTACTTTAGTGAGACTCTTATTTTGGTAACAATCAGACAGGATGTGGTGTGCAGCACTTTCATTGACCGGAGGTGTGTGGGTTGGTTGTTGGGGAACGTGACTGCTGTAATGCGAAGTGACGGAGGTGTTAACAAAAAAGCCTCTCGAGTTCATGGCCGTCGGCCTCTCTTCATGTGCAGCTTTTATACAGGTAACATCATCCTATCAGGACCCTCCGTTACACTCACTCGCTTTTGGCCCCATGCGTCAGGTCGCACTGCAGACACAGGAGTCTTGCATACGACTGGAACGTTTTCCTTTGGCGCTGGAAACAACCAGCATATTTTGTCTCAGGTGAGTCTCACGTGAGTCCCGTGACGTGACAATCTTTGACAGTTTTGATATTAAACTTGTTTAAAAACAACCCTGTGACAGCACGTGCAGCTAATCACACTGTCCATATGTGTTATGGAGGCAGGACTTGTGGAAAGTACTTCATTTAACCCTTTCTGCACCTCTAGGCTAACCACACGATGAATGAGTTGTTGCTTTTAGTGGAGGCAGTCAAATTATTGGTGGGGACTATTTGGTCATTGCTGGATATTGGTGGGGGCATGCCTCCTCCATCCATGCTAAACCTATGCCCATGTTTATGAGTCATGATTGGCATTTGTATTGTGAAAATGGAAAAGCATTTCAGCTAATGCTTTTTAATTTTCAAACAGAATTTTGTTAGCACCGTATTATTTGAAAATTAAATCTTAAATGATCTTTTCTTCATCATTTTCATTAAGTCACATAAAGAGTAATGACAAAGAAGAAAATGAAAAAGCAGTTTGGAGGATTACTTAAATGAAAGAGCATTTCTGCTGCTGCTTAATCATTTTGATTGTGTCACACGATTGCTTCCATAGAGAAAGGCATGGTGGAGACTCGTGGGTTAAGCTTTTCAGGGCGACTAAGAGTCTGTGATGTTTTTCAGAGCCTTTCTCTGTGTCACAGCAGTACTCAGGAACTGGACTGGCTGGTGGTGCTAAAAGTCACTTGTGTCCAAACTGATGTTTCAAATGAGAGACAAGAACTTTTATTGAGCCTACTTCCCTGTTTTTACCTCCTGGAAGCTGAATGAACTCACCTGATCAAGAAAGTTCAGTAGGAGACACAAGGATCCTAACTGGACGATATCCAGCAAATGACCTCTCAGTCATTTAAGAGTATTTGAGGCACAGTGGTTCAAAATGATATGATACAAAAATGTCAATTTTAAGTTACTGAAATGGAACACTTTCATTTAAAAATGATTCAAAATAAAAGTTTGTGTGCAATCGTCTGAAGTAATGTGGAAAAGGGAAATAAAGATGAATCAACAGTAAAATAAGTGATAGAAAACATGCTTGAGTTACGAAGAGGATAGTTTTAATCTAAAAAACTATCATTTATGAGCAAATGTAGGAGCTCTATTGTCTTCTGCTCTCTAGTGAAGAATCAAAGTATTGCAGGTGACAAGTGTTTGTGGTTGTATTGTTATATAATTATACAATACAAAATAATTGCATTAAATATTTTCTTTATCTCACTTGACTTGATTATTAATTCACATTTGGATGGATTAATGTGCACCCTGAATTTAGACTGGTTGATACATGTGACAATAATAATAATAATAATAATAATAATAATAATAATAATTATTATTATTATTATTATTATTATTATTATTATCATTATTAGTATTAGTATTATTATACATTGTTTTATTATTATTATTATTATTATTATTATTATTATTATTATTATTATTATTATAGCATCACAGCTTTTTAACAGGTTTATTTTGTAAAAGGAATCAATGAAAGATGTCTGTGTTTTATTATTTGTGGAAGTGTGTGGTTAAAAAATAAAAATGACATTTTTCTGAGCCAAGTCTTTCTTTTTTATCTGGACTTTTACAATCATGACTATACAATTTAAAGCAAAGATATGTATTCATCTTTGTTGTGGAGTCGTGCACCCCCATACACACGCACAAATAAGGTGATAGTGAAAATGAGTTTTGCCCTCAAACTTTTCCGGTGTTGTGCTGGAGCGGAAGGCGCTGAATGTGTGAAAGTGAGGGAGAGAGGGAGAGCAACAGTTTTTTTTGGCGGCATGTGGCAAATTCTCCTTTCCTGCCTCCTTTCATCAGAACCACATGAGCCCCCTATACCATGGGGCAAACTCCATCCGGTTGCCAAAAAGTGAAACCAACGTTGAAGTGACAAAACTTGCACTTCCTCTCTCATCCACTAGGGGCTGGAAAAAGCAAATTCCCATGAGCCGTTTTTA